AGGGAGGCATTTTTGGGCACTTCTTAACTCTCTGCAGGGGCTGAAGGGCCTTTTCCTTGCCTAGTGCCCTTCACACTGCCAGTCCCAACACGACCAGAAATGCCAGTCCCAAGGCACATCATTTCTCCTCCTGAGCACCATCATGGAAATGCAAGGAGAAAATCAGCCAGGGCACCTACAGACAGACACAGAGGCACAGGCCCAGGGCTCTGCATCCCTCAGCACGTGAGGAGGGATGGATTCACAGCTCTCCTGGCACCACAGCTCTGCTGGGGATGTCTGTCAGCACTGAGGCTGCACACCTGAGTCACCTGCCTTCCCCATCACCCACCTTGGGTGTGGCTGGAGCAGGTTGTCCTTGTGCCACAGGCTCAGGACAATGCCACTGTCACCCTGCAGGCTGGCTGTGCCTGGCAGGAGGAGGCTGTGGTGTTGGGAGCGATGTTCTTTTGTTGTAGACACGAAAGCTGAACCTCAACAACCACATCTATCAACAGCCACAGCTAGCACAGCACTTCTGCACTCTCCTGACCAAAGGACCTTTGCTCGGCCAGGCCATTTCCTGAGTGAAGGAAAGCCCAAACTAAATGTTGTCTGCAGCCTCCTGAGCTCAAAGACAGGCTGGGATGGGAGGTGGTGCATGAACCCACCTTCAAGGAGAGTCCTTTCTCCCTTCCCACCACACTTTCCAAGCTCTGCTTGGAGACATTTGAGCACACAGGACATACAGGACTGCAGGCAAGCTCTGCTCATCAATTCCTCCACTGGCAGTGCCTAAGAATGGTCAACATTTCCACTTACTCTGGACCACCTTGCAAAGTGGTGAAGGGTCTTTAACCCAGCAAAGATGGGGAACCCCGTGGATACACTTTGAGGCATTTCCTCAGGAATATAGAACATCTAGCACATGGAGTGTCCAAGCAGAGAGGCTCCTGGGCTAACACATGAGGAGGCATTTGTGAATCAGAGCATGCAGGGTCACTGAAACAGGAGTCACGGCTGCCTGAGCTGTCAGCCCCACCAGTCCAAGGGGCTGTGGCTTGTGGACTTTCCTTGCCAGCACCTGGGGGTGGTTACATGGCACTAGGGGTGGTGATGGAGCCTTTGTCCTGTAGGATAGCTTGAGGGAAGCCTTTCATGCAGGAACCTGGAACTGGAATTGCAAAGGCTCTTTGGTTGAGTGAGCTCAGTCTGGATGCAGCTGCAGCAGGAGACAGAGGCTGTGTTCTACACAGGGTGGGAAAACTCTCCTTTGCCTCTGCTTGTCTCTATTTCCACCTCATGAGGTGCACTTCATTTACTTTCAGGTTTTTTTCTACCTTCTGCACAGAAAGGCCAGCTGTAAGACTGTATTTTCTCCTTTTCTCTGGGACTTCCATTAAATTTCTGGTTTTATAAAAGTTCTTTTGCTTTCTCAGCTCTTGTCCTTGTTCTGCTTTAGGAGAATAACCATCTTCTTCTGGGAGTTGTTGGCTGGAATGAAGAGCCATCTCTCCAGCTGGCTGGGAGAGGAGATGAGGGAGATTTTTCACCTTGATGGCAAGCCCTTGGGAAAAGCAGCGCTTGGGGCTTGGAGCTGGCAGTGGCCTCTGGAGAAGAAGAGGGGCCAGGGTGTGGAGATTTCAGCAGGGCAGCAAATAAAAGAGTGAAAATGAGTGATTTAATAATGGAGGACAGCAAATGGCCACAAAAACGATGCTCTGTGGCCTCTGCAGAGTGGTTACAGCCACAGCACCTCCAGCAGCCTCTCACAGACACTGGCAGGATCAGAAGGTGAACTTCAGAAAAACCCATCACGGGCCCTCACTGGAGAGCAGAGAGCCCCCAGAAGAGGAGGGAGACACAGCATTTGGGGCTCTGGGAGAGGCCCGAGGGTGCCCATCTTTGGGAGGGCAAGGAACAAACCCCTCAGTGAGCATGGGCACGTTTTACTCTGCACCAGCCTTCATGAGAGCCAGCAGAGATGGGCACTAACTCCAGAGCAGTCCTTTAGCCCAGGACGTGGCTCCAGGTTGGTTTCTCAGGAGCACACAGCAGCTCCTTTGGGTGCCTTCCCTGCCAAGCAGGGCTTTCCAAAGTTCCCTGTTGTGGCTGAGTGGTCAGAGAATTCATGTGACGCGGTTTCTGCTCCCGACTGGGTGAACTTGCAAGCACAAATGTCACCATTTGTGAGCATAATTTTTCTTCTTCACGTATGCCTCTGACATTTGCTTTTCACTTACCTTTCCTGCCAGTAACTTGCAGTCATGGCTGGTGGAAGGCAGCAGAGCAAAGGGGGCAGAACAGGAAGGGACCAGGCAGGGTTTAATGAGTGCCCAGAGGCAAATGCTTCTCATCTCCCTAGGAGCTCCTCCCTGGTGCCCAGCAGCTTCAATCAGAAGAAATGCTTCAGCAAGTCGCTGCCGTCAGGAGCTCTGTGTGCTGGCAGCAGCAGAGGAGGTGATGCTGTACCTGTACAGCAGCCAGCACCTGGTGGCACCAGGCAGCTCATCCTGGGCACGTGGGGACATCCTGCAGGACCAGATCTGCTGTGCTGCCTCCTCTTCTTCAACAGAGTGGTGGACCAACCCTCTAGCTTTGGCCATCCCCCACGGAGCCTTCAGCCATGGGAGCAGGGAACCAGGAGCTCCTTGGGGTGGTGACAAAGCATGAACTGCTTGTGACACGGGCGGGCGTGTGGGAGCCCAGGAGCACCCTGAGGGCACCGTGCTGGGCCAGCACTGGGAGCCCAGGCACACAGGCTTGCTCTGGGCCAGCACGCAGGGAAATGTCACCAGCTGGGTGTCCTGGTGAGGTCCCTGCACCCTGTACTCCCTGCAGAGGCCACAGGGAGTGACCTGCAGTGAAAGCCATGGGCAGCACAGCCCTGACTCCACAGGGGCAGGAACATCAACTGGCATGTGACAAGTGTCACTCACCTGCCTGGGTCTTTGAGAAGGCAGTGGAGATCACTAATCTGAGCTTCATTTGCCTAAGTCTGGACAAGCAGGGGTGGTCTGGGCACTAAACCAAGCAGAGAATGTTTTCCACCAGCCTCAGCAGTAAGTGAGAAGATCTTTTCCCCTCCCATTCCAGCACAGCCTCACTGTAGGTGTTAAACCTTCCCTGAACCTTCCTTTTCCCCACAAGCCCCACACGTTCACTGCCCCCAGTGACAGCAGCCAGCACAGCACAGCACTCAGCTGTTCCTTGGCTTGGTGTCTCTGCACTGCAACAGCCCAGGCTGCCCTGCCAGGGGGAAGCTCCTCAGAAAGGTCACTCCCCACCACACTTTTTGGGAGAAGGAGACTGGGAGCACAGGATCTGTGGCCTGTCTCTGATGAAGAAACCATGTAGAGCCAAGCCAAGCATGAGGGAAAGGAGCATTAGGAACCCCAGAGGCAAGGATGCTCCCAGATTCACACAGAACTCACAGAGTCACTGGGTTGGAAGAGACCTCCAAGATCATGGATTCCAACCCAGCCCCAGCGCCTCAACTCAACCCTGGCAGCCAGTGCCACATCCAGGCTTTGTTAAACACATCCAGGGATGGGGACTCCACCACCTCCCTGGGCAGAGCATTCCAGAACTTTATCACTCTTTCCATGAAAAGCTTTTCCTAATATCCAACCTGTATTTCCCTTGGTGCAGCTTCACACTGTGTGCTCTGGTTCTGTCAGTGCTGCCTGGAGGAAGAGCCCAACCCCACCTGACCCAGCCACCTTTCAGGAACTGTACAGTGACAAGGGCACCCCTGAGTCTCCTTTTCTCCAGGCTGAGCACCCCCAGCTCCCTCAGGGGTTCCTCACAGGGTTTGTGTTCCCAGCCCCTCTCCAGCCTCGTTGCCCCCTCTGGATGAGCTCGAGTGTCTCAAAGTCCTTCCCAAACTGCGGGGCCAGAGCTGGGCACAGCACCCGAGGTGTGTCCTCAGCAGTGCTGAGTGCAGGGGCAGGATGACCCCCTGCTCCTGCTGGCCAGATCTCCCTGCAGGGAAGGGCAGGACAGAGCAGCTGCCCAGTGGCCACTGGACGTTGCCCTGTGCCCCTTCAGAGGCATTTTGGAGCTGGTCCTGCCAGCTGCAGTGACACATCTGCTCTGCCCCTTGTCCCAGAGGGTTTTGGAGACCATCTACACACAGGTGCAAACCAGGACATACCTGCTCGGAGGGGCTGCTCGGAGCGGCCAGGCAGGTGCAGAGGAGATCCCAGCCAGGGTGGTGAGAGCTCAGATGTTTCCTCCTTGAGCCATGGCTTCTGCTCTGCATTCAAAGTGCTGCTGGAGCTCTTCTTTTTCCTAGGAAAAAAAAAAATCCTTCCTGGTAGTACATTACTGCATGCCTGATGTAGAGTTCCTTCATTATATTATTTTTTAAAACAAAGATCAAAGGCAGGTGCACAGGAGACCGTGATGATTTCCATGGCTGGTACCATTTCAGCAGGAAAAGCCCCAGCACCAGGAGCTGATCCCCAGCAGCATTTCTGGAAGTTCAGGCTCCCTTTTCCCACAAACTCCATTTTATGCATAGCAACATTCTTCAGGGAGAGCTGAGCATCCCTCCTGAACTGGGCTTCCCCAGCCTGGGGAGGGTCTCCAGCCCCACCAGAGCCTCCAGATCCCCCCCAGTGCCCCTGGAGGAGGCCACCAGGCCACTGGGCTCTGTGGCATGGAGCCATTCTGAGTAAATCACCTTATTTTCCATCTCTGTGGCTGCAGGAGGAAGCTCAGCCTGTGCTGATGACAGTGTTTCAGGCAACCACAGCACCCATCAGCGCTCGCAGCTGAGCCACTCTTGCCCCCCTCTTGCCAAAATGCCATCACCTTTCCCATCATCTTCCCTGTGCCCACCTCCCCGGGGAAAAAACCCAAAAATCCACCTCAGCAAAACTGCTCATCCATCCCCACTGCAAGCCAGCAGGGGTTAATGCTGTCAGCCATGACGTCAGGATCCCAATTTGTCGGGAGAGTCCCCCTCCCCAGCCACAAACTCCCTCTCTCCTCCCCTCCTCTTGTGACTTTGCAATGAGCAGCAAAACTCCACAGGAGCTGCGGCAGCAGCACTAGGGAGACATCCACCCTCCCCGCGAGAGCAGCCCTTCTGCAGACAGGGATTTATCTATTTTCTACACTTGCATATATGCATTTTTTTATTTACCAGGCTGCATTTTCTTTTTCTTTTCCTTTTTTTTTTTTTTTTTTTTTTTTTTTAGCCTTTTCACAAAAGCCTCAAACCTCCTAAGTGATGAGCCTGAGATTTCCCTAAAATAAAATAACTGCACAGTGGGGCTGGGTGGCTTCCTCTTCCCCCCTTTGGAAAATAAAGAGGAAAGGGGGAGCAAATAGGTAAAATCCAGAATAAAATCATATTGCTCGAAAACTCACACGTCCTCCTCGCTCTCTCTCTCTCTCTCACACACACACACACACACACACACACACACACACACACACGCTCTCTCTCCTCCTCCTCCTCTCTGAAGGTGGGTAGCAGGAGCCATGCAACATCTGCAGAACCGGATGGCAAAAGAGCAGGAGGAAAAATAATCCAAGTGGAGTGCTCAGGGGACACTGAGTTGGTTTTTTTTTTTCTTTTTCCATTTTTTTTTAAATTTTTTCTTTCTTTGTCTTCTGCCGCGTACCTGTGAGATTCGATTTCACATTTTGCTGAGCCCATTTTGGGGCATTTTATTTTTCTTTCTCTTGGGATTTTCTCCATTGCCAGAGGATGTCTCTTGTTGAGAGGATGCTGAAAGGAAGAAGAAACGAATTCTTTGACTGGCACTGAAGGAGCGGGGGGGTATTTTTCCCCCTCATTTTTTAGGTTTTTTTCATTATTCTTTTTCTCTCGGAAATCATTAAGTGGGGGGGGGGTTGGTTTCTTTTTTCCCTCCCCCCCTTTTTTTGGAGGGGGATTTCAGAAGATCCATCTTTCTTTCCCCTCCCCTCCAAAGATTTTTTTTTTCATCCTTCGTCTTTGTGGAAATGTGGACATTTCAGGCAGACAGATTGAGTGGAATTGTCTCTGCTTTAGCAGCTCTTTGTGTCGCCTGCTGTGCGCAAAGGTAAGGATTGCGATGGCAGGCTGCGGGGACAGGGGGGCTGGCACGGGGCTTGTTTGGCTCGGTTGGGGTTTGGGGGCTCTCTGCCCGCGTTCCGCTGTGGTTATTGCCCAGGCGGTGCCGGTCTGGGGGAGCAGGGCTGCTCGCACACGAGATGCGGACGGAGCCCACCTGGCAGAGCGTGTGTGCGCGTCCCCCTCCCCAGCCCGGGGGAGAAGGGCCGAGCGAAGGGGCTGCCCGGGGAACATGGTGCCCACCGGAGCTGCTCTGCGCAGCCGGCACAGGCAGCCTCGGCCGTGCCCGGGCTGCACCCGCAGCCACGCTCGCATCCCTGCCGCGGCTCTGCGGAGCCCCGGGGGCGATGCCGCCGCGGGGATGGATGGCACAACCACCTCCTCCGCGGCTGCCATCCGTCCGCATCCGTCCCTGCGTGTGCGCAGCCAGCCGTGCCCGCCCGTGTGTGCCGCTCCGCAGCTCCAGCGCGGGGCGCCGGGCACAGCCGGGCATCCCTGCCCGCTCGGTGCGGCTCTGCCGGGCTGTGCCCGCAGCGCTCCGAGGGGCAGGAGCCCATCCAGCCCGGCCGAGGTGTGCGGAGCGCACCTGTTTGCTCGCTCATCGCTGCCTTCCCGCACGGGGGGAGCGCTGCCTGCTGCTGCTCCCCCTCCCTGCCCACCTGCGGCCAGGTGCGTGTGTCCCTGCGCTGCCAGGGGCAGCTCCGGCATCTCCCTGCTCAGCCTGCACGGGGAGCAGCTCCCGGAGCGCACACACAGGTCCTTCTGGGTGCCCCATCCTTATAAATGATCGATTTGTGTTCCCATCATTATAAACACGCACACACACAGGTCCTTGCAGGGCTCTGGGTGCCCCATCGTTATAAACGATTGATTTGTTCCCATCATTATAAACACGCACACACACAGGTCCTTGCAGGGCTCTGGGTGCCCCATCCTTATAAGCGATCGATTTGTGTTCCAATCATTATAGACACACACACACACAGGTCCTTGCAGGGCTCTGGGTGCCCCATCCTTATAAACGATCGATTTGTGTTCCCATCATTATAGACACGCACACACACAGGTCCTTGCAGGGCTCTGGGTGCCCCATCCTTATAAGCGATCGATTTGTGTTCCCATCATTATAGACACACACACACAGGTCCTTGCAGGGCTCTGGGTGCCGAAATTCCTGTTCCTGTTATAGACACGCACACACACAGGTCCTTTGCAGGGCTCTGGGTGCCGAAATTCCTGTTCCTGTTATAGACACGCACACACACAGGTCCTTGCAGGGCTCTGCGTGCCCAGATTTCTGTTCCTGTTATAGACACGCACACACACACAGGTCCTTGTGGGGCTGTGAGTGCCCAAATTTATGTTCCTGTCATTATAAACATGCACACACACAGATCCTTGTGGGGCTGTTGAGTGCCCAGATTTGTGTTTCCATCATTATAAACATGCACACATAGATCCTTTTGGGGCTGTGGGTGCCCAGATTTCTGTTCCTGTTATAGACACGCGCACACACAGTCCTTGTGAGGCTGTGAGTGCCCAAATTTGTGTTCCCGTCATTATAAACATGCACACACAGGTCCTTTTGGGGTTCTGGGTGCTCAGATTTGTGTTCCCATCATTATAAACATGCACACACAGGTCCTTTTGGGGTTCTGGGTGCTCAGATTTGTGTTCCCATCATTATAAACATGCACAGGCGCAGGCGCGTGCCCACTTTGCCCACACCATTCACGCGTGGTCCTGCTGTGTGGGGACACACACACACGCAGGCAGCACTGTCCAAGCAAATGTGTGACATTGAAAGCCCACAGCAAGCCCCTCTGCTCAGATGTGTGTCCTTGCATGCGTGTTGGTGTGTCCAGCACTGATTCTCACCCCTAGTCTGCGTGTGTGTCTGTGCGCAGCGCGGAGACAAAACACTCTCCATGTGCACAAGCCTCCAGCTACTCCTACACAGCCCAGCCAGCAGCACGGGGTGCTGGTATGGAGATGTTTGGCTGCAAGGGTACGTGGCTGTGCAGAACACATGCCCACTGACACAGAATCAGGGGCACAGCACTCCGGAATTCAGATCACAGGCTGGCTGTGAGTGCTCCCGAGCGGATGCAGACCCACATTCGCCAGGAATAGCACTGGCATGCAGCTGCTCGCCCACAGCTGGGCAAAGGCACCACTTGCCTCCTCAGTGGGAGGGATGTGGCTTTTTGGATCAGAGGGAGCACTGGGAGGCAAAAGACCTTGTCCTTAATCATGATGGTTTATTCCCTCACTAGGCCACCTCACTAGGCTGGTGAGGAGGAAGGAGTCCCCGTGGCCCTCTTCCCACTCTGCCCCTTTCTGCAGGGCCCCTGACACATTGTTTACTGCTTACCTCGACTTCCCTTCTTATATTAATGAGGTAAACACTGATTCCTGAGTTTATGCACTGTAGGAAGCCAAGCAGAGGTGTCCAAATCCCTTGAGAACGGCACAGTGTCCATATTAAGAATGTGGGAATCTGTGTACCTAGGAATGGCTGTCTAGAGATGAACAAATGCTGCTGCACGCTCTCAATGCTCAGTGACAGGACTGTGTTTTGCATGCTGCAAAACCTCACACACCTGCAGAGAAATCCACAGGTGCAAAGTGGACCTTGCAAGCCTGGCCACGGTGTTGTGCAAGTGCCCACCTGCGCACACCTCTCTGGCCTTTTGGCAGTGATTAAAGCCGTGCAAGGAAGAGCTGGACCCCTCTCAGGAGCAGACTCAGGAGTGGAGCTCAGACCCCTTCCCCTGAGAGCACAAGGGCTCCTTGGCTGTGCATGCACCAGAGCTGGGTGCTGTCTCACATTTGCTGTCCTGCTGAGAAATTCCTGCACATCCAGAGCCCTGAGAGCTGCCCGGGCTCCCAGGTGCTCCTACGTGAGCCTGGATCAGCAGATCCACAAATGACAGCTTCTGTGTTCCTCATAAATGGTGTCCACAGTCCAGTCTCTCGTCACACCCCAGCAGAGCAAGGTCTGCACCCCCCGTGTCACCTCCAGCCGCTGGCTGGGATGGGGTCACACACATACACACACATCGGGGCATGTTCTGTGCTCCGCTGTGTCTGTGTGCCTGTGTGCACAGGCAGGGAGTCCCTGTCCCCTCCGTGCAGCCAGGAGAGCACGCCTGCCTACCTGCCTGCCTGCCTGTCTGTCTGTCTGTCTGTCTGTGTGTCTGTCTGTGTGTGCAGACACAGGGCCATGCCAGCGGCAGCCCCTGGCACGGGGCTGGCAGGCAGAGGCAGGGCCGTGGTGCAGCTCTCCAGGTTGACTGGGATGGATGTGGGAGGCGGTGTTGACAGGAGACATGCTGTTGTGGTGGGTGACTGCAAAGAGCAGCAGTTGTCACCGGCAGGGTCTCTATTCTCATGCAAAGCAGGGGACGAGGGTGGCACAGAGGCTGGGGATTCAGGCACAAAACCTGATACACCCCTCAGCTCTCTATAGATCCGGTATTTTTACATCCCCTGCTTTCTGGTTCCCCACCTTCAGTTTTGGCTTGGGCCTTGGGCTGATTTTGGAAGGAACTCCTTTCTTGCTGTAATGGGTGCTAGGGAGGGCATCTGCCCCTCTGTGTGCAGTTAAAGGGCTGTGAGAGAAAGGATTGCTGCTCTGGCACACACAGGGGAAGATGGACTCTCCTTCCCTGCCTCTGCCTCTTGATCTGCGTTGCTAAGAAGTCACAGTGATGCTGAGTGACAGAAACTGAATTTTTGCATGGCAAAGATCAGCTGTGTATTGAGGCTGTAGGAGAAGAAGGAGCCTTGTTTTGTTCAGTATCTTCATTGTTTGCTTCAGTAGCCTGCAGAAGCCCCTGGGTGCAGCGGGGAGCAGAGGCTGCTCTGGGCTGTGTGACAGGGCAGGGTGCCTGCCGGGGGCCACTTGTGTCGTGGGGACCTCGGGACGTGCCAGGCCTGTGCTGGGTGATGCAGGGCCTGGAGCAAGAGCCCGGCTGGGCTGAGGAAGGGGAGTGAGACCCGCGAGGGAGAGGCTGCAGCTGCCCCACGCACAGCCTGGGGCACAGACAGGCCAATTCCTGCCCCTGTGTCTGTGCACCCCTCTGTGGGCAGGGACAGCGAAGCCCCCAGGCGTGGGGGTCAGTGGCCAGGCTGCTCACTGAGGGTGCAGCAGCAGGACCCTGGGGTGCCTACACCAGAGGGACTGAGCTTGGGGTGCCCTGGAGGCAGAGTCAGCTGCAGAAGGGGAGCCAAGACACTGCTGAGCCTTCTGAGCCACCTCCCAGGATGGCGTGGGGGCCCTGTGGGGCTTGTGGTGGGGCTGGGAGCTGTGCCAAGGGCAGGAGACACGAGTGAGAGAGAGCACAGACAGGCTCTGCTCTTGGCTGAGCTGTTCTGGTGCCCTGGGCTGGGAAGGATGCTGAGGTACCTGGCCAGGACCCCTGGTACCACAGGGGATGACGAGAACTCTCTTCTTTTGTCTTTCAGCCCCTCCACTGGAAATATTTCTGTGGTGAAAGAGATTGTGGACAAACTGCTGAAGGGCTATGACGTCCGCCTCAGGCCCGACTTCGGAGGTAGGGGGGCAGGGGCAGGGCCGGGGCTGGCTCTGTGCTGCCCCTTGGCCACTCACACCGCGGGCAGTGCCCCCTCACACATCTGCAACCCCAAACACAGCCTTCTCCTCCCACTTCTGCCACCCCTCCTGCTTTTCCTTCTCCTCTCGCTGGCTCCTCTCCCTGCAGCATCACCCACCTCTGCAGACAGCTGCGCTGCCCATGCTGAGATGTTTCTGGGGGTACTTTGCCACAACACAGACACTCGGCTTTTCCTCTGCTCCAAGCTTTCCTCCGTCATGGACAGCAAGTCATCCCTCCTCCATTTCTGCTCCAATGCCAGATATTTTGGCTCTTTTCCCTGCAGAGGGTTGAGGTGATTGCTGGTGGGGCTGTTGGTTGGCCTGCAAGGCTGCTCCCTCAGCAACAGTGAGGCATAAAATATTCCCTGCGGAGCTGGTGGCCTGGCTGCCACTCAGCAGGAGGGGCAAGGATCCTCAATTCCTCCCTTGGCTCCTGTGAGCAACCAGGAGAACCACAAGGGCCTGGTGGAAATGAAAAATGGGAAATCTCTGGGCACTGACTGTCGTGTTCCCAGGTCCGGTTGAGGTCTCTTTCTTGGGGAGGAGCAGGCACTGGAAAAGCACAGGGAGGGGGATTTGAGGGTTATGGACTCAGCCTGCTGAGCTTGGCTGTTTTCAGCCTTTTCTGGGCAATGCTATTTCCCTCTGGTGAGGAGATGTGAGGGGCTGGGGGATGCTCAGCCCACGGGAGGACAGCTACATGTCAAGGCCTCCCTCTCCACAGGGCTGATGGGCAGCAGGCTCATGCCTGTGCTCTCAGGGGCAAGAGAGGCCAGGCACAATTATTTAGTGGCTCAAGGGAGCAGTTTTCCCCCAGCAGGGCTGACCCATAGTCCCTAGAAGCTGGAGTGAAGGAATCCCCCCACTGATTCCAGCAGGATTTGAAGGCACTCAGTGTATTGCTGTTCCCCATGGCCAAACCCATCTCTCCTTGAAGCCTCTGGTTTCCCTGCTCCTCACCCTGCCCTGACCACCCCATACCCTTCAGCAGAGTCCCTTCCACCCCCACAAACACCATCCCACTGCCCTCACCTCCTTGTTCTACCCCATGGTGGAGCAGGGGCTTTCAGGGGGCAGCACCAAGTGCTGCTGGGCCCTGGCCCCTCTGGGTGGGGGAGATGGTCCCCATCCCTCCATAGTGCTGAGGGGCCCCTGGGAGATCACCAGGGCACTGGGGAGACACAGGGATGCAGCATCCTGCAGGCAAACAGGGGCTCCAAATCGTCCCTCTCTCCTTTGAACATAAGAGAGGCTGGCTTTGATTTAAAGGCTCTGTCCAGCAAACACAAAATGTCCCTATTACCTGGCCAGGCCTGACCACAGGAATTGGTGCAGTCACATTTTATGAGGGGGAGAGGCGTGGAGATGGCATAAAACTGGAAGAGGAGCAGGGTGTAAAGGCCCAGGGGGACTGTGATGCTGCTGATCCAGCGCAGCAGGAGGTGACACGGGTGTGCCCAGCAGGCTTTGTGCCCTGATTCCAGCCCCAGGGCACCCAGGACAGGGCCCAGCCCTCCTTCAGTGCAGACCTGCCAGGTCTGTGCCCCGCTGGGGCTGGGCTGGGCAGGCACTGCCTCCTCCCGGGCTGCAGGATGGATGGGGCTGGGCAGCCCTGGCCTTTCATTTGATTTTGCCCTGAATTCCCAAAGTGCAAGCTGCATTTCTCCTCCCTCAAGCACAGAAACAGAATTATGACCATAGCCTCCTTCCCTGTAATTGCCTCACTGTTGCCCTTCACCCTTTCTTGCCCTTCCCTGTGCTCATGAGAGCGAGGTCCTGGTGGGGAGCCCCTTGGTGCTCGTGGTGCAGGGATGCCCAAGCTATCAGCATGCCTGGCTCCCACCCCAGCACAAGCTCAGCCAGGCAAACCTCCTGCAGCATTTCCAGCTGGGCTGACACAAGAGTGGGGAAGCTGGAGATTGTTGGTGTTACAACAATCTGGGGAAAGGGGTGGAAGTTCCCTTGTACCACAGAGCTCACCAGTTCTCTGGGCTTTTGAACCAAACCCATTTCTAGGTGAAATCCAGTGGGATCATGCCAGGAAGTGTCTGACCCTGTGTGGCTCCCAGTATCCACAGTCCTGTTGTGGAGGGGCTGAAGTTGTCCCCAGTGAGTTGTGTGCAGGTGGCACAGCCACAGGACCCACAGGAACAGCATGAAGCTGTGCCAGGGGAGGCTCAGGTCGGATATTAGGAAAAGGTTCCCTCCCCAGAGGGTGACTGGAACGTGGAATGGGCTCCCCAGGGAATGATCATGTCCCCAAGGCTGCCAGAGCTGCAGGAGTGTTTGTACCATGCTCTCAGGCACAGGCAGGGGCTGTTGGTGTGTCCTGGACAGGGTCAGGGGTTGGACTGGATGATCCTTGTGGGCGCCTTCGTGCTCTGGGTGTGCTGTGATTCTGTGGAAAAGGCACAGTTTGCCCAAAGCCCTGGGACCTGTTTGTGTGCAGCCCTGCTGTCTCCCAGGGACTGGCCTGAGCTCCAGTTCCAGCATCCCGAGGACTGGACTGTTCTCCAGGACTGCCCCGTGCTCCACCTGGACTGTCCTGCCACCCCCCTCTGCCTTCCAGCTGGGCAGGTGGGGTGTAAGCCCCTCTGTGGGGAGGTGATCCCACCACCCCCTGTGCTCCCATCCTGGGAACACCAGTCAGGCTGAGCTGGGAATGGCCAAGGTGGCACCTCGGAGGGGTGGCAGGTCCTGCTGGGAGCCCTGTGCCCCAAAGGGATGTCGTGGAGCTGTCTCAGGGCTGGCCAAGAGTGACCAGGGGTCTGGCAGGACAGGCCTGCCCAAGTGCAGAGGAGTGGAGCAAAGCAAACCCCTGGAGCAGGGTGAGCTGTGCCTCTAAAGCCAGAGCCATCAGCTCTCTGTGGCTCAAGGATGAGGCACTGGGGGCAGGAAGGTCCCAGCAGCCAGTGCTGGGTTCCCCAGCCAGGTCCTTCCCAGACAGATTCCCACGTGAGGAATGCAACCCACAAATGCAATGAACCAGTCTGCCTTCCCTTCCTCCCTGCCCTGTTCTTTCCTGCCTGTTTCCCCAGGTTTTCCTCCTGCAGCAGAGTGGTTTCCTTCTTGCTGTCCTGCCCCACCTTCAGGGAAGTCACCCTGCCCTGTCCCCACCCTCTCAGCCCAGGGGACAGTGTCCCACCTCCACGTCCTGGGGTGCCTCCTCCATTCACTCCTGTCTGTAGGGCAGGAGCAACTGGGATCCTCTGGATGTGAAGGCAGGTGGAAGGACCTGTTCCCATGTCCCACCTGCCATGGTCAGGCAGTTCTTGCCCCTCACAGTCTTTCTAAGAGAGCCCCCAGGCTCATCCAGCACCCCCACCCTGCCTAGGACGTGGTGCTTCCACAGCTCCAAACACAACTCGTGGCTCCCCAGTCCTCTTTATTTTATTATTTTTTTGAAAAAGGGAAAGAGAACTCCGCCTAATGCCAAAAGGAGGACAGGCCTGCTGGGGATTGCAGTTCACTTTTTAATTTTGAGATGCCTCGTTAGCTCTGGGCCGAGCTGAGTGGCTGAGAAGCATCAGCCACTCGCTCTCGTCCCTCTCCCCCACCCCCTGGAAACCCATGAGGCTGATGTGCAGGTCAGCTCCCAGGGTGAGCAATGAGTGCCATGAGCTCACCTGGGAGCTGGGCTGAGCAGGGGACACAAAGGGGACGGCTGGAGCCACGTGGAGATGATGGAACAATCTGGGAGCAGCTCTGGCAGAAAGCCCCCATGGCTGGGGGGCAGCCTGAGGGACAGTCCCCTCTCGTGTTCCAGCTGCAGCCCCCAAGCCCTGGAGTGTCACCCCTTGCTGGAGAGACATGGGACAGTGCCAGGGTGGGACATGCAGGGACCAGGAGAGGGCCTGGGGCTGAGGAGACAGGAGAGGTGATGGCAAACAAGTCCAAAGGGTCTGGCCAGGGTTGTGGCAGGGATCTGGAGCTGCCTTCAGGAGTGTGCAGCCAGGCCTCCAAGAGGGAGATCTTTGCCCTGGCACTGCAAGACCAGCAACAATGCAGAGAGAGGGTTTTGGGCATCAAATCAGAGGTGGGTGCCATGCAGCTGGCCCCGAGGGATGGACAGCCTGGAGGTGATTTATATGGCACAAAAATGACACCACAAGACGAGCAGGATGCTCGTGATTTAGGACTGGGTGAGCAGGGGGTGCTGCAGATAATGTCTGGGAATCATCTCAGAGCAGCACCCTGGCTCTTGTAAGTGCTCTTAGGCACTCACTTTCAGAAGCATTAGCTCCATAGGATAAAAAAAAAGGAAAAAAAAAAAAAGGAAAAGAAAGCAAACTAAGATCATACTGCCCCGGGGTAGAGAAGGCAATGAAGGAATGGCAGGAAGATCCCACTTGAGCTCAGTGACTCAGCTGCTCTCTGTTGGTGCAAGGTTTCCAGCCCAAAACTTTGCAAGAGTTCCAAGCAGATGGCTCTTGATGGTTTTCCAGCACCATTTGCAGGTCTTGGTGGCCAAAAGCAAGATGAGGGCACTCTCTGCTCCTTGCTGCCAGCCCTCCTGGAGTGCAGGGCTCCTGGTGTTTTTCCTGGGAGGAATGCAGGGGTCTGGAAATGCCTGGTGAAAACAGAATGACCGTGAAGCCCTTGGGATTGTATCCTGGCTTTTCATGCCTGTGGATCCAGCAGATTTCCCTGCTCCATTTTTAATTCAAACTTCCCTAAGAAAAATTAGCACTTAAGGGGTCTTGGGTTGAAATGAGCCTGTGTCCTGTTCCCCATCTGCTTTGTGTCATGGATGAAGCTTCCCAGCTCTGTCACCCTCATTTGGGATAGCCAAACCTCTCTTTGCTGCAATAGCTTGGCCTTCCTCCTTCCTGCCCCCCCTGCTCTCAGCTCCTGTCTGCCCCGTCACACCTTCACCCTCCTGGGCACCCAGCCCTGCTCCCACCTCCTGTTTATCCCCCAGTATTCCCTCTTCCCTGG